CTCCCAGATTCCAGCATAGCTCTGAGGCTGAGTATCTTGGCTCAACAACCCGATAAACCCTAAATCCTAAACTCCTAAACCGCAGCTATGATGCGCTTCTTGGCTGCGCGAGGACGAACCTGGGCTGAGCTCTGCGGTGGTGGCCACACTTTCCATCCCCATAGTCACGCTGGTGTCGGCGGTCTTGGTTGGCATTGTGGTGTGCAAGTGCAGGGCCAAATCCAGTCTGGCGAAGTCGGGCGAGCGGCTGACGCCACAGGACCGTCGAAGAAGGGTTTCCAAGGAGGTCGTGCGGTCTTGGTGAAGGAATGAGCCGGATTGTCTTTTGCAGGCTTCCCTGATTGCGGCAGCCTCCCTGGAATTGGGAATCTCTGCCCTTTACTTGTCTCTAGGATGCAGCATGATTCAGCGAGATGCTCTCAAGATTTTCTGCTTGTCTTGCGTTTTCTAATCCTGTCAGAAGGGTGGGTTGCCGCTCTGAGGCAGGCGACCTTTCCAGAAGAGGCTCGGGCGGCAACAGGCCGACGAGTCCGTCACCGGGAGGGTAAGATCTACGGATTCGACACCTGGTCTGGGGGTTCGGGGTGGGAATTAGAAGCATTTGAAATGTGGCCTGCTTCACTGACCTTTGTCCAGGGATGGCAGATCCAAACTTCTACGAAATTTGCAACGTGCTTGCCATCGGTCCCAGCGGCAAGGGCTTCGGCAAAGTCTGTCCACGTGACAGCAGAGCAAACTGTAGCATCGTTGATGCCTTGGACGCGCCAGCACAGGGCAGAGCCACCCACTTTGTCTCGTGGTGCTGGCGCTACCGACTAGAAGTTGTGGTCGATGCCGTCCATACATGGATACAATCGTCGCAGTCCACTCCATCTGCTGGTGAAATATTTCTGTGGATGTGTTTTTTTTGCAATAACCAGTACAGAATCCTCGAAGAGGGTAGCATGTCCGGCTCTGCGGAACTTCAGACAATCTTCGAAAGCCACCTGGCCAGTGCCGGCCAGATGCTGGTCATTTTGGACACCTTCCTAGAACCCTCTTACTACTCGCGCGCCTGGTGCCTTTTTGAAACTTATGTCTGTATAGAGCAGGGGTTCCCACGGGACATCCTACTGCCCAGCAGGGAGCTTGAGGTCTTTAAAGACATGATGAGAAATGGTGAGGCCGAGCCCATGCGTCGAAAGATCCGTCAAATTGACCTGCGACGCGCAGAAGCTACGGTGAAGGCTGACGAGGACAGGATCAAATTGATGATCTTCACCTCCTGTGGCTTTGACGCGGTGAATCGAGTTGTCCAGACAGAGATCCAGAAATGGATATTGAATGCCTTTGCCATGTACATGAGTGATTAGTTGTTTAATTCAGCATAATTCAGCAAGCCAACACTCAGGGACCACCAGAGTCTTTGCGGCCTGCTCGTGGTCTTGGGAAGTTGTGTCAAGCACAAGTTGTCCCCGTGTCTTGTTCCGCAGGACCAGCTCGTGCAATTTTGGGGGCGCTGATACGTTGCCAAATGTCCTGCCCGCTGGTGAAGGGTGATGCGCCCTGAAACTGGCCTGCCTCTGCGATCTCCATCGTCACCGTCGCCCGAGTTCTTGGCTCATGAGCTTCACCACGTCATGTAGGTGACCGCACATTCCAGATCAAAGACAGCCGATCTTCATGCCATGCAACTCGCAGAAGTATGACCGAGCACCGTGGGAAGTGTAGCAGCAGCCGGCGCAGTGCCATGGACCTGTTAGGCTGGGAGCCCCTTAAGAGAAGCTGCACGGGATGAGGCCATTTTCTCAGGAAGCGCAGTTCCTGAGCTCAGGTTGCCCTGTACCTAACCAGAGCCTGAACACTACTTGAAAAAGTTCTTGGGCCGTTATAATAGGCACCTTCATTGAGGTTCGAACTGCCCATGAACCTGTAGGGTTCAGGGTTTAGGGTTGCGGGTTGGTCAAGAATCATAAAGCCATGCGACTGGAGTTCTGGCATTTAGGGGGTTGAGAGCTAAACCCTTCACCCCCAGAAACTCAAACCCGAACTACCCTGCGAGAAAAGGGCTTCTCAGTTGGTTTGCAGCTGTTTTCAATGTTCAGAGTGAAACATGTCGTGATACCCGGGCAACTGCCTGTTGACCTAGTTGGCCTTGGTTGGCCCCTCTTCAGGGATTATAGGAGTATTTAGATTTACTAACGGGCCCCACTGTAAAGTTTGATCCGACTCATTGCTTTAGCAACACCCGACCCAGGTCTTACACCACAACACGTTCGCGTCGAGGTAGACTGCTGCTACTACTACTACGACGACGACTACTACTACTATTACTACTACTATTACTACTGCTATTACTACTATCACTACTGCTACTACTACGACTACTGCGAAAAGATCGTGTGATGACGACTGGAGCTGCTGGCCCAGGTTGCACCTGAAGCATTTGGGTTTTGGGCTGCTGTTGAGCAGCCGTGCTGTTGCAGCTGAGCAGTCTTGTGACATCGAATTGTTACCAATATGGTCATCCAGGAAGCTTTCCGCATGTTATTTTTTGCGATGAATGAAGCACATGCAATGGTAGCGAACTCAATGAGCCAGGGCAGCCAAGGACCTGTCATGCAGCAAGGGGGATCGGATACCTTACACTTCCACCCGTTTTGGGACAAGTCCGGAGCACGGTCCGATGTAGTCCTCGTCTGTGGCTTTACAGGGAAGCAGTCACGTGCGCTTGCGGCCTCCTCCGTGCGGACCTGCATGCAATTCCTATGTGGGAGTGCGCGCTACTCATGGTAGAGATCTTATATGTTCGAGCTTCTTTTCCCCTGAGCCCTCATCATGAAACCTCGGCATAAGGCGTCAAAATGACCATAAACGCGACTTGCCCCAAATCGCTTCACTGACATCAACCTGCAGCATGAGCCTGCAGCAGTTTGTTACTGCGGAGGAGAAAAGCAGGCTCACCCCCGTCCAGAGTACTGCACGGAATATTTGCCTCATTCGGGGGAGAGAGCGGTTCCATGCGATTCCTCTGTACTTCTTTCGACTCCGTACAGACTTAATTAGTAGGCTAGTGCGAGAGAGGGGAGATCTTGCGGGCATAGCCCTCCTTCGCTTGCAGCTTTCCCCCGGCTTTTGCCAGCCTTGGCTTAAGCGCAGCAGGGTAGTCATAAGGAGACAGCCAGACATGGCGCTCCTCGGTGGGCTCGGCGGTTGGGTTTTCTATTTCTGTCGGGTTTGGGGTTTTCGTGCACATGGTGGTATGGCTTCGAATGAAGTCTTTCTGGGGGGTTGAGACTTGTGGGCGAGACGCCGCTTTTTTTTTGGTGGATGTGGTTCTGTGAATCTCGTCATCGTCATCCGAGGTCATCCTCTGTGCCACCTCAAGCCGCGACACCTGGTGGTTATTTCATCCAGAACCCGGATGGCACCACTTCGGGCACCACGTCTCAGATGAACTCATACCGATCACTGTGCCTCTTTGAGTCATTGCATGATTCATGATTTGACCTCAGGGCGTACATCGCTTGCATGACAGACGCTTCACTCTCCTGCTGTGCTGTTTTGGTTACTGTGGTTGTCGTTGCGGTTGTCATTGCTGCTGCTGCTGCTGCTGGCTGCTTGCTGCTTGCTGCTGTCTGCTGCGAGCTGTGCCGGCGCTGGCGCTAGTGATGGTGGTGCTGCTGTCGCTGGTTCTGGTGCTGCCGCCGATGCCTGTGGTTCCGGTGCTGCTGGCTGTAGCTGCAGCCGTGGCGGCGGCGGTGGCGTCAGTGGTGGCGATGATGGTGGTGGTGATTGTCCCGGGGCGCCGTAAGGTGGAAATTGGTTTCGGTCGTGGGCTTCGTGCTCAAGCGTAGCAGATGCTGTACGCAAAGCATCTCATTGCTTAAGTCTGGGCATGTCATCGCGCAAAGCAGACGTGCCACATCGTGTGCCAGGGCCAAGACTGGGAAAGCTTCAAAAGCAACACTCGCCAGCAAGCCTTGAGAATACAGCTCCAAATGGGTGAATTTTTGAAAAAGACTTTGCAGCAAGCCTCAAAGACATTAGTCTTGTCATTTTTGCTTTTGCGAACGCCGTGCAGAACCGTTTTGGACCTGAACCTTGCTCTCACGACGCCAGTGTCTGGAACCTGCAAGCTGCAAGCAATTGGGTTGAAGGCCCATTCTATGGGACTCCACCCGCGGGCATGCTGCCGACGGGTCAGATGTAGCTGGGCAAGACTGCAGAACTACTGAGATTTTGGTGCCTGTTGGGTATGGGATATGGTAAGACCTTGGAAGCCTTGGCAAGCACATTAAAATTGTTGGTGTTCTCGTTGATGTCATAGTCTTGTTTCTTATTTGTCAGGCAGTTTGTGCATCGTCATTGAACGGGGCCATTGGTCTCAGGATCCGGTCAGAATGTAGTCGTGCGCGGTTGTACGTTCTGCTACTCGAGGCAATGTGGCTATGTCTATATGTGTATAGCCATGGCAGTTGGTGCATAGTCGTGCGCTCCCTCATTTTGGTCAGTCATTATGGTCTGCTGGTGTCTTTTGCTTTAGAGTACAGCGAATACACGTTCATGTGTTACCATGTATGTGAGTATGTCAATGTCTGCATGTACACATGCCCGCACGTATGTATACGCGTGTGTGTATGAATGTATGCATGCATGTATGTATGTATGTATGTACGTATGTAATTATGTAAGTATGTAAGTAAGGAAGTACATATGTATGCATGTATGTATGTATGTATGTATGTATGTATGTGTGTATGTGGGTATGTAGGTAGGAGGTAGGTAGGTAGGTAGGTAGGCAGGTAGGTGGGTAGGTAGGAGGTAAGTAGGTACGCAGGAAGGTAGGTAGGCAGGTAGGTGGGTAGGTAGGTAGGTAGGTAGGTAGGTAGGTAAGTAGGTATAGGGATGTACGGATGTATGCATGTGCGCATGTATGCATGTATGCATGTATGTGTGTAAGTATGTTTAAATAAGGAGCGCCAACACACAACATCCCCAAGCTAGAAGCGACAGCCTTGATGTCTCGGTCTTGCTACTGAGATATACTTCGAAAGCTGTTACTACGCTAGAGCGCTGAAGGATAAACCCCTGATCAGTAAGTCCCGTATACTTGCATGCCCTGAACCTCTCACCTCCAATTCCTGCTCTGCGGTTTCGGCGTGTCTTGTGGCGGGTGGTAAAGGGCAGCATCGAGGTACCAAGCCCTTGTATTCTTAGTGCTGAAAGCTGCAGCACTCGACCGATATACCAACCTTGATACACGGCAAGCATCGTGCACATACCCAGAAATAATCATCAGATAGACAAACCAGCGCAGTGTATCAGAGTACCCTAGCACCTTGGTACGTTAAGGAGGCAAAAAAGCACGATAGCGCTTGAATCCGAAAAGCCCAACACCCTATATATATACACACACATATGCTACCCCCCCCCCCC